TTTTTTTTTTTTTTTTTTTCTGTAGTGAATTCTATGGAGGCCTTAAAGAAGAAATAATATCAATCGGACAAACACTTTTTCAGGAAATTAAACAAATACTTGTTTGGTATGGCAAATGTAATCTTAGTAACACATATTGACAAAGACATTATTTTAAAAAGAATGAAAATTATCGACCACTATCCTGCATCTATTCTGCATGAAAGCTGCTCTGGTTGTGTAAGTCCTACTAACTGAAAGGTCAGCAGTTCAAATCCGCTAGCTGCTCCAAGGAGAACTGGAGGAAGAACATCACATCATTGTTCCTAGTTCCCCTCAACCCTGCCGTCAGAAACTCCTACCCCCACGATCACATCCTGATAAGGCCTCCCCAACTCCCCCACCTCCACAAACCACCATCCCCCCCCACTTCCCTAACAGTTCCTATAAAAAGGAACCACCCTTGTCTGCCTGTGAGCCATTCTTATCCTCTCTGCCACGATCACCTGGTGTCCCTCTCAGACAATTCAATAAAACCTTGTTTGTTACTGGGACCAGCTACTTCTTTGTCTCATCTCAGCTCTCTTGAGGTCTAACAAGAACGATGGGCAGTCTCCTCCCTTAAAGATTTACAGCCTTAGAAACCTGATGGAGAGTTGTAAGCAATGAGATGACAGTGGAGCAAGCTCTGGTGGCCTAGTGGCAAGAAGCTGCACTGAAATCACAGAGGCACATGGTCTGAGGCCACCAGCTGCTCCACAGGAGAAGGATGGACAGTCTCCTCCCGTGCCATTAAGTGCCTCTGAAACCTGCCAGAGGGTCAGCTATGGGGTGGTTCTGACTCTTTGGTATAAGATGGCAGTGGGGTTTTGGTTTTGAATCCTCAGGAAAGAGTTGCTTGGGGAGTAGTGGGTTACGTGTTGGGCTGCTAGCTGAATACACTGGTCGTTCCAATGAAGCAAGGGACGAGGCAGCCTGTTCCAATCAGAAGCAACTCAACTGGCAGTGAGTTGAGTTTGGTTTTTATTCTCCAAAAGAATAAATACAAAAACACATAACAAAGCAAATTCCAGTAAGTGAAAAAATAAAAAGAGAAAACAACATGATAATTAGGCACGAGAAATTGATCTAACTTTGACAATCACTCAAATTCAATAAAAATCTTCTATGAAAATTCACCTTGATAATTCTAGACTATGGATATTTAGGAGCCTGATAATAGGCTTAGACTTTATCCTTTCAAGAGTAGTTTAAATGTGGCTGGTGCCAGCAGTGACCTCCTGGCTGCTTGCTGACTTCAAAGTCCAGGTCTAATTCAAAGCTTTCCCATGTCTCTAGTTACAGAGCTTTGGTGGCCTAGTGGGTAAGGAGTTGCACTGCCAACTCAGAGGCAGGTGGTCTGAATTCCTTGGGGGAATGATGGGCGATCTCCTCTTGTACAATTAACAGCCTCTGAAACCTGCTGGAAGGTCAGTTCTCAGTCAGTTTGAGTTACAGAGAAGTTAAATACTGAAGTACATTGATAAAAAAAATGTCTGTTCATTTTTATAACAAATACTAGCAGGATAAATGTAATTTTTTATTAAGAACCTAACTTTTCATTTATCAATAAGGAAAAGGTAAAAAAATGTATCTTATAAATGTGCAGGCTTTGAAACATACGTAACAAATTATGCATATTTTTTTAAATATGGCTAGTTATCATCTCTTACAGAAAAACAGTGAGGAGATTTTATTCTTTATTTTTCCTTATTCAAATATTAATTCTGATTCCTATATTCATTTTGGGAAGCACAATGGAGCAGTAAACCAGTTCTGTTTGTAGACATCTAGAGTCAGAGTCTGGACTCATTCATTTCTTAGACAACTAACCTTGGCCTTCACCTCTAAGGTTTTCACAAAGAACTTTGGAGACATAGCTTGCACTCAGTCACACTGCAAAAGTTCACAGCTCTCTGAATCTACCAGCTACTCTGCAGAAGATAGGCAATCACCTCCCCTGAGATTCCCAACCTCTAAAAAACCACTGGAGGGTCAGCTATGAGTTGCTTTCAACTCAACAGCAAGGCTGACTGACTGACTTCAATGTAAAGCACCTAGTATAGAACCATGTCCCTTTCCCACACTCTCAAGGTATTTATTATCATTGTCATCATTCAGTCGATACTCATTAAGTATAGCTATAAATGAACAAATTGAAGATTATAAAAGAGAAATTTCTGTACATACCCACTGGGTGCTATCAAATCCAATTCTGTTTCCTTTGGCCTTGGATGAACCAGTTCCATTCTAGGAAGATAACAAAAGAATATTTTAATAAATTAGAATCTAGCAGATAGCATTACAATTAGGGTACGGTTAGCGTGATAGTCAATGATGTAACTAATAATGTTATAATAATGATAATGCTTATATTATTATAATAGTAATAATTAGATAATCCTTAAAAAGCTTTAGCCAAACACCTATTTTTATTGTGATGAGTAAAATATTCTTTAACAACCAAATTAGGAAATATGACAAATTTTAATAAGTGATTGCTATTAAACTGTAGTGAATCATAAAGCCAATATCTCTAACCAACTACTTTTCATCAATAAATAGTAGACTCTTCCCAATCTCTTTGGAATTAGAATTTGATCATTTAGCTCCCTATCCCCAAGCCCAGTTTCTCTCTGGAAATCAAATTAGTATTTATAGATAAAAAAACCAAGACTGCACATAAATCAAGTCTGTAGATAATCTACAAAGTGCTGAGAAAAGATAATATTGAGTAGATCTCAACTACCAGGTACTACATGTGACATTTCCATCTATATGCTCTCTGTAGTCTTTTCTATCCCTCACAACAATCCTGCAAAAGTAAGCAGTGCTTAACATTGCTCTCACTCTCTCATTGCTGTCAAGTGACTTAGGTTTCTGAGGCTATAAATAGCACAAGAGGAGACTATTTATCTCTCCCTTTCAGACTTGCTGGTGGATTCCAACTGCCAGAGGAGTGCGGCTTTTGGGTTAAGAGTTCAACTTCCTACAGAGCAAGCCACCAGAGGTTTGTGCTTGTTAATTAGTAAGTGTGCAGTAATAACTGGTGACTGGAATACAAAAGCTGGAAACGGAAGAGAAGGACTAGTGGTTGGAAAAATATGAACTTTGTGACAAATCAAATGACTGAATTTTGCACAGTGATTTATCAACTGCAAATATTTTTTTAAAAAAATACTCGATGTAATACATAGGAATCAAAGTGACTATGGAAAAAGTGGATAGTGAAAGTCAGTTAACAGCAGTCAAAATAAGGTTATTGGCTGACTGTGGAATAGATCATCAAATTACGCATGTGCAAGTTCAATTTGAAGCAGAAGAAAATAAGTTCATGACAACTAAAATACAACCTTGAATTTAAAAATCCTCACATGAATTTAAAAATCCTCTCAAGAAAAAAAAAAAAAATCCTCTCAAGAATAGATTAGATGCACTAAACACTAATGATCTGTAGGATGACATTGAGGATATTATCCATTAAAAAAGCCAAAAGGTAATTAACAAAGAAAGGAAAACAAAAAAAGGCTAAAAAAGGATGTCAGAACAGATTCTGAAACTTGCAAGAGAATGTAGAGAGGTCAAAACAAAGTGAAAAAATTAAGTGAAAAGAACAGAAGATTACACAGGGAAGTGTGAGAGAAAAAAAGCAAAGTATTGAAACAAAATGTACAAAGAGCTGGAGTTAAAAAACCAAAAAGGAAGACCAGGCTCAGCATTTCCCAAGCTGAAAGAACTCAAGAACAAATTTAAGTCTTGAATTGCAATACTGAAAGATTCTATGGGTAAAATCCTGAATGATATAGGACGCATCAAAAGAAGATGGAAGGAATAGACAAGAGTCCCTGTACCAAAAAGAGCTAGTCAACACTGAAACATTTCAGGAAGTAGCATATGATCAAGAACCAATGGCAAGAAGAAAGAAGTTTAAGTTGCATGGAAGAGACACTGACTAAAAATAAGGCCTCAGGAATTGATGGAACACCAGCGGACATGTTTCAAGAAAGAGATATAACCCTGGACGTGCTCACTAGTCTATGCCAAGCAATATGGATGAGATTCATATTTGCCAAATGACTGAAAAGATCCATCTTTGGTCCCATTCCCATAACAGGTGATCAAACAAAGTGGAAATTATTAAAACAACATCATTAATATCACATGGAAGCAAAATCTTGCTGAAGATTAGTTTTAAAACAGCTGGAACATCTACAGGGAACTGCAAGAAATTTAAGCTGGATTCAGAAGAAGCTGTGGCATAAGGAATATCTTTGCTTATGCCAGATGGGTTTTGAATAAAAAACAGAGAACATGAGAAAGATGTTTAGCTGTGTTATATTGACTATATTACAGCTAACACCGAGAAAATGGAATTTCAGAACACTTCATTATGCTTATGAGAAATCTATACACAAGGCAAGAAAAGGTGGTCTGAACTATGGAACACTTCATGGTTTAAAATCAGGAAAGGTGTGTTTCAAGGTTGTATTATTTTCCCATAACTATTCAATTTGTATGCTGAACAAGTAATGCCAGAAGCTGGACTACAAGAATGTGGCATCAGGATTGGAGGAAGACTCATCAACAAAGTGTGTAATGCAGGTGTAATCACAAGTTGTTCTAATAATATCAGTATCAGATTATCCATCAGAATACTGGGGTCAAAAATGCCCCAGTATTTATCAAACCAGCCCAGCATGCTACCATTTCCCAAATTCCTCCCTATCTCAAATCTCCAGTTGGTGTTTCCTCAAGCTCAGAAATCCAGAAGGTCCTGAGAAATTCATGCAACTGTTCAGTCTGTGGCTATCTCAGGTGAGTCAAGGAAAAAAGGCCAGAGTTCTGATGCTAGCTGTATTTATGGAGTGCTGGGGCATAGACCACGCCCCCTGGGTGATTGGGCCATGCCTTTCTAGCAAGGCAGGAGAAACTGAAGCAGCTGGATTAGCTTAAAGACAATGGTCTAAAGGGAGCTCTGGTGGCCTAGGGGGAAGAAGCTGCACTGCAATACCAGAGGTATGTGGTTCAAATCTACCAGATGCTCTGCTGGAGAAGGAGGGACAATCTCCTCCTGTACCAGTCAGATCCGAATTGATGGTACACACACACAAAATAATAAAATTAAAAAAAAAGACAATTATCTAGGGAAATAAAAATTTCCATCAAGTTCTACCACAGCACATGACACAAGCTTGATAGCACAAAGTGAAAAGGCCCTGAAGCTCTTGCTGCAGAAGATCAAACACGATAGCCCATGGATCACATCTCAATATCAAGAAGACAAAAATCTTCACCACAGGACGAGCAGGTGATATCATGATAGAGTAAGACAAGATTGCTGTTGTCAAAGATTTCCTTTCGGAAAGCCCCATGCATCAATTTTACCCTCTTGAGCATTTATTTATCATGCATTTCTGGTTGTATTTGGCAGTCTCTTTATACCTTGGACTAGTGCTTCTAAGCTTGATCCCAGTTTGTCTCTTATGAACGTTATGGTTTGGAGCTTTACTCCCAGGTCTCTGATGCACCTTGAGTTGATTTTTGTGTATGGTGTGGGATGTGGATCCCATTTCAATTTTCTGCAGGTACAAGTCCAGCTTTGTCAGCATCATTTGTTGAAGAGGTTATCATTTGCCCGTATAAAAGCTTTTATTTCTTTGTCGAATATCAATTGACTATAGATAGCTGAGTCTACTTCTGGGTTCTCAATTTTGTTCCCTTGGTCTATGTGCCTGCCACTATACCAGTGCCATGCTATTTTGGTTACTCCTGATGTGTAGCAGGTTTTGAGGTAAGAAAACCTACAAACTAGGAGAAAACATTTGGTAAGACCATCTTAGACAAGAGTCTTATAACAAGTTGACAGAATATTCCTGGGCCTCCACAGGAAAAAGACTGACAAACCAATTACAAAATGGGTAAAAGACATGGAAAGAATTTTCACAGAGGAAGATACATGAATGGCAAAAAGACACATCTTCATGCTCCAAATCACTGGCAATAAGAGAGGCAAATCAAAACCACAATTAGGAACCAACTCCAATAACAGTGGCAAAGCTTAACAGGGCAGCAAGTAATAAATGTTGGAGAGGATGTGGTGAGAAAGGAACTCTTACACATTGTTGGTGGGACTGTAAAATGGTACAACCATTCTGGAAAGCAGTTTGGTGCTTCTTCAAAAAGCTGAACATAGAAATTCCATATGACCCAGCTATTCCACTACTTGGAATATACCCTGAGAAAATGAGAACTGAGGCACAAACAGAGATTTGTATACCAATGTTCACAGCAGCATTATTCACCATCATAAGAACATGGGAACAACCCAGATGTCCAACCACAAACGAATGGATTGAGAACTTATGGTACATTCACACGATGGAATACTACGCAGCACGCAGAAGCAATGAATTTGTAAATTATTACCTATCTTGGGAGGGATTGGAGAGCACTCTGCTGAATGAACTAACTCAGTCCCACAAGGATAAATATCGTATAAAACCATTAATACAGAATGAGTATAAGGATCCAAGAGCGGTGGGAGAGGGTGGAGGCAGAGGGATGAGGATGTGCAGGAGGAAGGGGGATTATGGGGTTGTACAATTTGTTGGGTGGGGGTAATGAAGGAAATGGAAAGAATTTGTTCTTTAAAACAATGTACTCAAATTTTGTAAATAAACCAGTAAAAAATTAAAAATAAAAAAATATTTCATTTTACTGGATCCACAATCAACAACCATGGTAGCAGCAGTCAAGAAATAAAAAGGACATCTTGTCTTGGGGAAATCAGCTTTCAAGGACCCCGTTATAGTGCTAAAATGCAAGAATGTCAGTTAAAGACTAAGGTGCACCTGAGCCAAGTCATGGTATTTTGGTTGCTTCCTATGCATTTGAAAGTTGGACAATGAATAAGGATGGCAGAGTAAAAACTGATGCCTTTGAATTGTGGTGTTGGGAAAGACTATTCAATGGACCAAAGAAAGAAACCAAATCTATCTTGAAAGAAGTATCACCAGGGTGCTCACAGAAAGCAAGGAATGTGAAACTTCATCTGGCATATTTGGGGCACGCTGTCCCCCCAAAAAGACATCATGCTTGGAAAGAAGAGTATGTGCGAGAGAGGAAGACTTTCAATGATGCTGACTGACACAGTGAATATAATAATGGGCTTGAGCATGACAGCTAGTGTGAGGATGGGATGGGATAGGACAAAATTGTTCATAGGGTCATGATGATTTGTAGTCAACCCAATGACACCTAACAACTCGAAACAGAACAAGGACCTATGTGTAAAACCCAAAATCATAAAGATCTTTTAAAAAATACAACTGAGCCAAACTTAGAAGCCCTAATTGATTACATTAATAGACTATCAAAAAGAAGTAAAAGGAGTAAGTAAAACTCTGACAGCTGATTTGACATTTCTGCAAACAACCTGTTAACATTCTCCTGGTTTTAAAGAGTGTTATCAGTAATGTGGGGAAATACAATTCTTTGTATGGGAAGGAAAAGGAAGCAATTATTTTTGAAGAACAATCCTATCACCTGCAGTTACTAAATGTCTGTGTGATGTGGAGTCAGTCTCTTTATTTCCCCAAGGTCATTTTTAAACTTCAGTCAAGTATACAAAGCATCTATGGAACCTTTTCCGGTTCATATGCATGATGATCGGGAGTTCATACTTCTGTATGACATGTGCTATCCACTTAAACCTTGTTACAACATAGGCACACTACCCATGTGACATGAAAAAAAAAAAAAAGAAAGTTCTTAACTCAGACTATTCAGTTATTACTATTCTACTAAGTCCTAGTGGGAAGAACCTGTCAACACTTTTACAACTCAGCGATACTTTCTCAACTCTAGCTTCTTACTGGGTTAGCATTATTTTCTGTGTGATCTTTAGAAGCTTTTATTTTCCCAACTACTGTTTCTATTTTTTTTATGCTTTTAAAAATCCAAATCAAACTTGTTGCTTTCAAGTCCATGATGATGAATGGTGAAGGGACCCTGCACCTTAACAGGAGGAGAGTGTCTCACTTGTCTTCCCTAGATTGGCTGAGGAGTTCAAACTCTTGCTATTCCATTCAGTGGGTATGCTGTGTCATTGCATTTCACCAGCAGGTATTAAATAAAACATACAATGAACTAAAAAAACCAAAGCATATTTTGATATAAAAATTAATTATCCTTGAGTTAATTTAAATGAAGGATGATCTGTTTAGTATATTTTTACATAACTGCATCAGAAAATTTAAATAGATTAAACATCACCAAAACTTCGCATTTTGAACTTTTAGTGTTAGGGGAAGAGTGGAGGGTTGGCGAAGGAGAGGAAGACCTTCAACCAGGTGGACTGACATGATGACTACTGCAATGGGCTCTTGTGTGGCAGGAAGTGTGAGGATGGAACAGGATAGAACAAGGTTCAGATCTTTTGTTCACAGGGTCGCCATGAGTCCTAGGCGACTCGACAGCACCTAATATGTCTAACATGTCTCAGTAAGGATTTAAAAAACTATAATTAATTTTAGATATTGCAAACAAAAAGTTGTTAAGAAAATAAAAAAGCTAAAGCAAAGCTTAAGAAAATTACCTTTGCTGATAAATAGTGCTTGTAGTAGTACAACTGAAACAGCAGAAATGCAGAACTTGCCAAAGTTAAAAGGGCCAAAACCACATTTTTATTGATTCTACTCATTAGTCTGCAGTGATTATTTATTTATCTTTTGAAAGGAACTCAGTAGTTCTCATCGTTTTGGATAGGAAGATAGTCAATCTTGCTTTCTGTGAACAAAAACCAGATATTAGAAGAAAATCTACTTGCAGTTTTTCACAATTAATAAAAAGTGCAACACAAGGAAAAATTATCTAAGGTTTCATAGAATATGCTGACCTACCAATTTCCTAATGAAATAATGAGAAGGCCATATATAAGGGAACACAGTTTATAAAGGCATTCTTAACAACTGCAAATTAAGGAAGACATATGTGGGCTATTAAAAAACACTGACAAACAGAGATAAGGAGCCTTAGTCACAGTTTTTAATTTCATAGCTTTGAGGTAAACCAGTTGCAATGAGGATGATTCAGAGTCATGGTGAACTCATAGGTATAAACAAGAAGTTTAATTCATAAGATTTTCAAGGTTGTGCCTTTTCAGAAAGGTCACTTAGCCTATATTCCAAAGCATCTCTGGGTGCATTTGAACTGCCAACCTTTTGGTTAGTAGTTGAGCACCTAGTTGTGCCACCCAACAACTTTATCCTGAAAAGTTCCCAAGCAACGTTAATACTGCAAATCTAGAGACCCCATTTTGAGAACCACTCCCATAAAAGAAATTAAAAATGGTTTTTGTCACGACCATGTCTGCATGACAACTCTTAAGATTTTATTATCTAGGATGTATGTTTTTATAAATATGCCAAGTAAATTTTGTTTGCAGTGCAAAAAACACTGGGGTAAACATTTTTGTTCTTTAATCTCTGATTATCTCTTTAGTGTAAGAAACTTAACATAGTTCAACTTCTTTCTATGTATTTACTAGTGCCTGGTTTTAGTTAAATGTATTTTACGTGTACTCCCCAAGTGTTTCATTCTTGTCAATATTCCAAAATCTCTATTATTTGATTTTTAAAGGATTACATATATACTGTTCTCTACCTAAAGAATAAGAAGAAATCAGAAGATTTATATTACTTCCTTGTTTATTCCCAATTGTGATTTTAGTAGTTATTTTTACACCTTACTATAGTTTCTATTCTATTCAGTAACCATGAGTCCCAGTTGTTTTTAGTCTTACCCCTACAAATAATGGCATCAATGCCCACTGTCAATCTTTTTTGCATTATCACCTCTATTAATTTACCAGGTTACTGAAATTATCTTCTTTTATTAAAAAATAATTGGAAGGTATTTAGGTTCTTGCACTGTCCAAAAATAGTTTTCCTTTTCACAGTCTCTCTCTGAGGTCACACTTTCTTTTTGGGGGGACTTACAAGCTTATACCTTTGTTCTGTAAGAATAAATATTCCCTTGACTGTACCTAATTCTCTTCACACCCCACTAAGTTTATCTTCTTAACGGGATGAGCAGAGTACTCATTCTTTATCTCTGAAATCCGTTTTCTTCAAATCTCATAATTTTCCCCAAGTCACAGTGTGCTTTTTAAATCTACAGAATCAACATTTCTTGCCTTTGTGCAAAGTTTTAAGTCATGTGTTGTGGTTTTCTCTTCCAATGTTTAATATTTTATTTCCAGGACACAAGTAGGCATTTATTGTATTCCTATTCATTCTCACTTCACTTTGTTCTTCTCTCAAAAGCCTATGGCTTTGGCCTTTGATGCGTTTTCAACAATGCTTGCTCTTTGAAAGCTCGTCTTGTGGCCTTATTTCTTATATTTTCTTTTGCATCCTGAGTTCTGATGGATTATGACTCACTGTCTTACTACTTCTTGTCTTAGCTGTTGAGTGTTTAGTTTTGTTTCTTGTTTAAAATACGCAATTGTTCCATTAAATTTTAGGGGCAAAATGGTTTTTCTTAGGTTCTCTCTCTGTTTTCCCATTTCTCTTCTTTTCTGCAGTATTCCTGGGTACACACTGTGCTAATTTCTTTTTTATTGTTATTATTTATCCACGAACAATTTTTGCTCCTCCTAGAGCAATTACTTTTAAAACTGTGCAAGGAAGAAACAGTGATATATTCTAGACTGGAATATTTGAAGACTTTTGCAATTTTAAGTGAACTAGATAGAGAAGGCTTGTGTGAGAATACGGGAAGGCAAATTGTTTATCCATGAGATACATTCTCTAGGTTAGAGAGGTAACAGAGTAGGTAACTCATAAGCTCTTTGCTCTGTCTTACAAAAAGAGGGCTTCCTGAAAAGATGGTGTATCTGTGTCTTTTTGGATGCATTCTTTTTTCCTACTTAGTTCAGATTGCCAAACATTTCAAAGAAGCCCCTACTACCTTCCCATGCATCCTGTTCATACTGTAAACAAAAGACTTCTCTCTTTTTGCTCTGCCAGCTATCTGTTAATTCCATCGGTATTTTCTTTCCAGCTCTTCCTGCTTCTGTGTGGCAACTATTTCTAAGGATTTTTATTTGAAAGTACAGATCTCCTAGAGTTATCATACTGTCCATGCTTCCAGCAAAAAGCTTCAATTTATTGTATGAGAGTGATTCTAATCTTTGTCTTTTATTTTCTTTGCTGTTTCAGGGTCAGTTCAGAGAAAGGACAACAAAAATATCTTTACATGGATATCTTTAAAACCTTTAATTTTGGGTTAGGGATTTAAAAAGAATCTCAGTAAGCATCTAGGGCGGTAGCCTATTAAAAGCAAACCATAAGAAAATATGTAAGACAAACTACTTAAGAGGAGTTATAGCAACAGTGATGTGGGTGATCGATCTGAAAGTCAGATGATGTAAGTGAAGTCAGAGAGACGATTAAATTATGATTATCTTCTACATCCTAAAATTATGACAAGTAACATGAAATAACACTGAGGATAGTATTAGTTTTTGCTGATCACTAATAATAAACTAATCTTTTGATAAATCCAGACTATAAGAGAATAAGAACAGTATTTTTTGTTCTCAAAATTTCAGCTTATTTTCTTACACTTGTATTAACTACGGTATAGATACCGATTACAAATGAAATCTGAAGTGGCATTCAGATTGTGCTATGACCCAGCCTCTTCTAAGCCTGAGTTAATAAAGGGAGTTTGGGGGCACAAATGTCCTTAGAAACAAAAAGTCTAAAATAGTATCTTGCTTTCTCATTGTACACTTACCTATATCAATAGACAATTACTTTTTTTTTCACTGTGCAGTTTTATTAACCATTCAAGTACAGTCGTATCTGCTAAAACTGGGACAGAACTGGGATTTAAAGTGAACAGATAGTCAGCATCTAACAAGTTTTGAAAGAAGTCACTACATACTCTTCACAAACATTGTTTCCACACAGCCAATACAGTACCAGCCATTAACCCAGTACACCAAGTGCACTCAAGTAGAAAAGATGCAACAAGAAAAAGAGCTACATTAGAAAGACTTCAACACTTTAGAAAAAGAGCAAAACACTTTTCAGTTTCTCCCCTTTGGCCCCTGAAACATCATACAACCTGATCTACCTATATAGTCCTGCATCTGCTTCTAGAAGATTAGTCAGGAGGGAAAAAAGGAAAATGGCACTGGCCAGCACAGTCTTTGGATATTTAGGAAGGGGAAGGGGAGAAAGTCACTTCTTAGTACAAATTAGTCGGCTTCAGTCTCACCAGCAGGAGCTTTGGATTCTTTGCTCTTCCGTACTTCTTCAACGTGCTTATCCTTTTCTCACAAACGCTCCAGGTTAGCGGCCACCTGTGCCTCTCGATTCTCTTTGTTGGCTTCCATTTTGTGAGTCAGCTTTTCTCCCGCTATTTTACGAAAGCTGTTGTTTTCTTCAGCACTTCTTTCTTATGTTCTCGTTTCTCAGCAAGCTGCTTCAAGATACCTGCTTCATGAGACTTGCATCTTTCTTCTGCAGCTTCTAATTTCTTCTGAATTTCCTCCAGGGAAAGATCCTTCTTCTTTGGAGGGGAAAGGGGGAATTCTGGCAAAGATTCTTTTGACCGTGGGCTGAGGATCAGCTCAAAGGCCTGGCCTGAGGTGCGTTTCTCCAGCTCTTTCACCTGGATGTCAGAAGAAGCCATGGTGAACAGAAGACAAGAGACTGGTAGTGTACTCTATGCTATCCACTGGTATGGAAAGCCCTGCTTGGTCTGAGCTGCCTGACCACACTCTGAGCACCAACAGACCCGGGCATGACCTTAATTACATTTTTATTAACAAGATGATCTCCAATTTCCCCCCTGTACATTCCAAGGTAATTCAATTCAAAGTATGATCATCAGCTATCAAAGTGTTCTTTTTCACTAGTTGTGTCTTTTCATTAGGAATAGTTAGTTAAAATAAAGAGTCAAAGGCTTTTCTTATTTTACCTCTGGCATCAACTCCTTAATTCTTTCTTCATTATGACAGCCTAATTTAAAATCAAATGTGCAAATACTTAATATGCAAATTTTAACTGACATCTTTTCATTTTCTCTTGCCTCATAATCTTACCTCTTCACTGCTCACTGACAGAGGAATCACGTTATTTCCATGATCAAACACTTCAAGTGTTTTCCTAAGAGAAAAGAAAATAATTTAGTTGTTGAATTGATTCTGATTCCTGACCTCGTATGTCATCATAGAACTGTGATTCAAAAGGATTTCAAAGGTTGATTTCTTCTGGAAGCTAAGCCTTTCTTTGGAAGTGCCTCTGGTGGGCTTGTATCTCCAATCTTCTGTGCATGTGAACCCTCTGTACCACCTAGACCTTCTCTGAATAATCCACTTATAGCTAAAACAAATCATCCTCCTTACTTCTTTTATGACTTGCCTATTTCTGCTGGGAGCTCTGATGGCTGAGCCTGTGGAAAGTTGCCCAGTTAACCCAAAGGCTGTGACTTTCTGGCAGCTTGAATCCACCAGCAGCTCCAAAGAGAAAGATAAGCAATCTCTTCTCATGCAATTTACAGTCTTGGAAACCCAGTGAAGGATCAGCTATATGCTGGTTTTGACTGAATGGGAAAAAAAGATCTATTTCTATGGTTGATATTATTTATGTTCAAAATAATTTTGTGGTCAAATTCAACATCTAATGAATCA